TTACATCATGTCTAGATTTCCATCGAGACAACCAGACGTCCGTAGCTATAAATCTTCGTGGCCCAGCATTTTAGCGAGTTCTTCTGCTTTGTACTTTAACCTTGGGCCACTTACTCGCACGGCTCGTCCAGTAACAAAGGCAAACCAATCATTAAGGGCCTCATCGACGTCTGGATCCTTGCCTTCACGCTTTTGTTTTTGGGAAGTACCTCGTCATCCTTCACATTGTGCCCATTCTTCTCGCAGATCTTTCTCTTGTTTTATCAGACGCGATATTGTAGATTTTGCCAAGCAGGTAATTTCCACCAATCGATGCTGACTAGTGGTTGGTCCCTGTTCCTTGATCTGATCTAGGAAACGAATCTTCTCAGCTAACGTCAAGTCCCGTCGTGGCATTTTCTTAACATGCAACAAGATATGTACAGTTCACTGAGGTGAACTCGAGTCTGCCTCCCGGGTATTTCTATGGTTGACCTAGCCACCTGCTGTCCTATGGTTTGCCGCACCTGTGTGTCCGCGATCACTTGCCGTGCTCAAGAGTAGGCCCGCAATGCGGTCTCAGGGCATTCGGCTCAATGGACGTGCGGTACATCGATCGAGCGTTTAACGACATGTGAACAAGCATGTATGTCGTTGCTTCGCCTACAAGTGTTGGAAACTACAGTCAGTTTCGGGCGGTTCTGAAGCCAATTAGATAGATGTGCCTCAAGGTTGCCACAGTTCACTTTATCCAAAGGCCAACTCGGATTACCGTGACTGAATGATACGCTTTCTTGCCCGACATATGAACTGTGGGTTTAGTCCAGACATCCAGGCACAGGACTTGATTTTAACACCTCTGTTACCTGCCACCTTCTATCGCCTGGTCCGATTAAGCGGAATTCCGGTCCTAATAAGCGGCTAAAATTAAAGTAGCGTAATAGGATTCGTTTCGGTTCTTCAGAATTTGGCCCGAATAAGCGGCTGGTCCTATTAACCGGTGGTCCTATTAACCGGAATCGACTATATATATATATATATATATATATATATATAGTAAGATTACTAAGTGATATATTCTATTACCGAAGGGCCTACTACACTTAAAGTGTACCTCTGCTGATCCGTGGTTCCACCAATGAGCCCCACTCTTGTTTTCCGATGTTTCTATAGGATTCTTATTATACTTGTAGCTCGACATCTTTTGTTGTTTGGATCTCATTTATTTCCGCCTTTACTAGGGCTACTAAAAAGAGAAGCAGACATGGTGTCTCCTTTATCCTTCTCATTTTTCGTTCTGACCTATTGTACGAAATGATCATGTGGTCGACGCTAATCCTTCTGTCAGTTATTCTGCTCCTGCTAGCCACTTTCGTAGCTATCCGGCCTGCTGTGAAAATGGCTGACTGACTCCTGCGCTACCCCAACTACCCATCCTATCGGATCGTTCCGCAAATGGTAACATCGGAATATACACTTTTATTTTATTTGTCTTGCTACTTATTTGCAGTTAGTAACCAGCCAAGTTAAACAAGGCTTAAGTGGCGAGTGCAGCATTTGTCCATATGATCGACTGGTCTTCCGTAAGATATCAGTATACACGAATGTTCATCATCATAATAACACATTAGCCGAATGTGAGACACACTCCAACTATTGTGTCGCAGTACATAAAGATAAGATATGAAAGAGCAAGCTATTGAATGCGGAAAAACAGGCGGCCGAATACTCGGTGGCGTTAAGATTGAGATTGTGGTTGTGGTTGGAGGGGAAGGCCAAGCGAGATGGGGTGGGACAGAGAAACACAACACAAGCTCCACTGAGGTCATGTTACAGCTAATTCTTATGCCACCTCCTTTGACTGAGTGGCACTAGCCAAATTACTCCAGGATAAACCTGTCGCTAAGATTCTTTCGCATATCATTATTTTGTATCAGTGGCTGACGTCGAAGCCACATCATTCATCACTACAATGATCGTGGTTACACGAATTCCGGCCAGAGTAGTTAGCTGGTTTTCCTACTTGCTGTTTTTATTGCACACCGCCGTCTATCATCACTGTCCCTTAGCTTAGATGTGTCGAGATCAAGTCGAACATCAGTACGAAATTCCATCTTTCTGCTTCACAGGTCAGAAAAGTCAAGGCGAACTATATAAACACAAATGTACACACCAGCAGTTTCCTCACTCCATTCCCATACCGTTCTCATTATCACCCTTCGTATCGTCTTCTTGTTTCTCATCCCACACTGGGACACCTTTCCACACGTGGGTAACATTGACAATTTCTTCTTTGGAACATCCAGAGTACGAAGCCACGGATACGCCACTGCTGTTTTTTGTGGATTAGTTGCAACGCGCAATCCCGATCAGGGGCTGACAGTCAGCTGGTGAATCTCAGTGTAGTGTGAGATTATGTCTAGCCGCACAACCAATACTCCATCAAGACCAACATTGAGCCCCTGGCCATCGTGACAGGAGTTCACCATCCCGACTTGACGATGTAAGATCACAGACTCTGTTTTATACTCGTTACGTTCAGGGATTGGCTCTCGCTTCACTTGTCTGTCTGAGAAGTGCTGGCAGGCTCGAAGCCGGCCGTCGGTGCAGCGCTGGATGCTTGAGTCTTTTATTCGCCTTTGATGTGTCCACTCTATTATTTTTATTCAACCGTGGTGTTAGCATATCAACCAAATGTACGCCATTCTAAAGCTTTCCACGAGTTACACTTCCAAGTTTTGCGACTACGTTCAGTTGTATCGAATCCTGTCACAAAAGAGCCAATCGCCCATTCGCTCTGAAAATGCCATTTATCCAGTATCCTCGCGAATGTTTAGCCAGGTTGGAGTGTGGATATTCCGTTTCATTTTAAATCTGGACGACCTATGAAGCCGTTACACATGCATGGATACTGTTGGATATCGGTTCAGTTTAAACCGAGCAAGCCCGCCTTACGAAAGCAAGGATTCCACGTACCCACTAGTCGGTTATATTTTGCGATGTGGTAGCACCATGGCGAGTAGTTCATCTAACGGGATTGGCCATACGTTATCGTTCCTCATCTACTTCATCATACATATTAGCCCACAATGTACCGAAAGGCGGCACTTGGTAAGTTGTAGGATGTAGTCTCGCGAAATCCAGCATAAGAATATAATCTATACGGCTATCTTATTGGGATTCTCTGGTGAGGTATGCCACTGGGTCGCGGGTAACAGATTTAACTACCACTTCTGTAATTGTTAAGGTTATGGAGGTAGGCGAATTTACTTGTCCTCCCAATACTAGTAGGCGTTTATTGTTAATGTAAGCTGTAGTTATTATTTGATTGGAAAGGTAACAAAAGCGGATGTCTACAGATAGGGTGATCATACGTAACAGTCGGGGGCAATGTGTGTTGCTGGTGAAACCGATACCAAGTCCTTTCCTGCATGATGATGTCTATGTGGCTGTATAGCTGTGAAGAAATCACTTGGAAAGAAATTGTGGTTAGTATTGTAGTAACACTGTACAGATGGCGGTTGGCTCGACAGTTTGCAGACGCAGTTTGCAACGCAACCCATGTCGTTGTGTTGCGGTCGCGTTCAACTCCCTTTGTTCCTGTTTAACGCAGATCGGAGTGATACAGCCAGTATGATACGCAGATAGGGATGTATTCCCCTGCATCTTTTACGTCAAGTGTGTGGTTCACTCAGTAACTCAATGTGCAACACTATGATTAAGTACTGTTGCGTCAGGAATAATTAGTATATGTAACCGGATAAGTTGGATGGGAACGGCCGAATCACAGACCACTCCAATGGCCTACACAAAATTCAAATCCAGTAACCACAACTACATGTAACGCTTGTCACGACGGTTAATAAGTGCTTGAAGGGTTAGTTTATAGTCCTCGTTGTGTGGTTAGATTGCGACATGCAATCTGAATGCTGTTAGGATAATAGCTATTTGACATTTACTTTTTGTGAATGAGCTGAACAGCCATCCCTCATTCTTCCTATTTCCCACTTCTTGACTGTTGTTTGTACGCTCCAGTAAGCTAGCCCGATCAGTGCACACACGTCATTATTAACAGACGCTCATCTCCGTGTCATCTTCAGCAGTGCCATCTTTGCAAGAACACATTCCATTGGTTTTTCTCCACACCACTTTTCTGCTTGGTTATGTTAAAGGGATATTTAGTTGTCACACAATTATTGTGCTAGATTTTAATTTTTGGTTCTGCACTTATTATCCTCGATTGTTTCATGACATCTGTTTAAACGCTACATTTCGTTATTCTGATTGGCCCCTGCCCGTCACTGTAAATGGATGTTCGCTTTATGCTTAGGGTCCCATGATGTTATTTTTAAAGACATATGCGTTTTGCTCTTGATTACACGGTTGCTTATGCGCCCGTTGCATTTGACCTTTTCCTTCTGTTGGTTGGCTGAAGTGTAATTTAGTAGCTTCCCTTCCTTTTGCCTTCAACACTATATAAGCAAGTGTGATTTCATGTATGCAAATCTCCGGCTCGTCTTTTGACTTCTTGCGATCCTAGGGTGAAGGCGTCAGTGGCGACACAACAAATGGGAACCGTGATTTACATTGAGGTGAATTTTGGTCCATTGGATCATTAGAACCGCAGCTGAATCGGATTAAAATTGGCTGCTGCCCGTCCGGAAATGCTGCATTCCATGACGTGTTTCGACTTTGGTTGATCTTAATTATTGTCTGTGCTAGACTACAAGTACAAGTACATTGGTTATGTTGTACATCTGACTGTCAGTCGGCTGCTTCGGCGGTGGGGTGGTACTGACACGATAGGCATGGGTGGCGCCAATTAGGTAGCACCGTTTGCGTAGAAATATAGAGCAAAAGGAATCTTCAAGTGATTCTCTTTCTACGCATTTTTAATGACAACTGCACTACTACCGTGCATAGTACCATTGTCAGCGAAGACCCTCTTGACTTTAATTGATTGTATATGCAAAAGAACAGTACAAACACACCAGTTATCAAGTGCATACACTCAGAAGATGGAAAGTATCATGAATGTTTATTATACGCATTTTATTGACATCAAACCATACATGTTCGTACAAAAGCGATGACGTTGGACGTCAAGTCAATCCTCCAATGGTATAGGCTTCGGCTTCCGAAAATGTCGAATTCCCGCACCCGGACGGGAAGGGTGAAATGGAGCATTCGCTCCATAGGGTATCGGTTCCGGGTACGAAATTCTACCGCCGGTCACGCCGGAATCCGAATCCTCCTCTGGACACTCAGGTTCGGCTATGACATTGAACGTTTCAACATGTGGAATGTATGCATTGGGGCGCTGTGGTGCAGCATTGGTACAATGCCTTGGATTGATTTTGTCCTGCAGTGAAAGTGAGAAATAATGGTGCAGTCATGTGTTTCTGATAATGTTCACTATTTACTTCTCTTACGTTCAACAGTGGACGTGCCTATTTTCTGTTTAGTCTGTCCTAACTTGTTAATCGGCTGTCATAGTTTACGGTTCCGCTTTCAGTTTTATTCAACTAGTGGCCTTCGAACCTTCACATCTTCACTACGCTTGGCATCAGCTACGATCCTCGTGACAAAAAGACCATGCTTCATTTCTATGGGAATCGCCGTTAACATTGAGATTGCGCGTCGCAATCTATCCATACAACCTGGACTTCAAAATAACACTCAACATCGTTCATTAAACCGTTGTGCTAAGCGTTGCCCCTCGTGACCCGGTGGCTTAGGGGTAGCGGTCACAACTAACGTCACAATGGTCCCGGGTTTCATGCCTGCTAACTCTACCTGATGAGATGTAATGATATCGAAAAGCGTCATAGTAGTGCAGTGTTTTCGGCCGCGTACCACCCAATTTCTATTTTGATCAATGGTATATTGCGGATACATAAAAGTCAAAGCTTGACATGTTCCGCCGGATGATCGGTTACGGGTGAGCAAAATAAAAGCAAAAGTGCCTATGGGAAACAGTAAACAACTACAAATTGCGAACTTGCCGATCAAAGCGTTCCTGTCCGTTTTATCTACTATCCAAGTTTATCGTCTCTGATTTCCGGACAAAAATGCAGGTGGATTGGTTTGTTTTCGTTTATCTACTGTTTGCATTGGTCGTTTGGAGTACGTCATATGGCGTAGTGTGGCCAGTGCATCGTCGACAACTACTTAGAACACGGCGAATGTGCGGCGGGAGGAAGGAGGGGCTGAAATAACAACTTCTGATAAGGTATTCCATGTGTGACAAACACACAGCGAGAATACGTTTCTTCGACACTCAAACCGACGGTATTGTTCTGCCAATTTCAGATGATGATCTCTCAGGTTGTTATTGTGACTCAACTTCAAGAGGTGATGGCGTGGGTGGTTAATGCTGTTTAATATTTGGTAAACCATGATTAGGTCACCACGCAAACGGCGATAACATTCACTGAAAATGCCAGGCACACTGAGGCGCTGTTCGTATGACAAGTGGCGCAGCCCCTTGCCATTTTTGGTCACCTGACGTTGTGGAAGCTCCAATACCGAGAGACCCCGCTTTAGCCATGGGTGCCGTGCTTGAATTGCATATTCAACAGGTGGGCGTATATAAGCGGGAAGTATTTGGCTGAAAACCGACGGTTCGAATTACCCAAAAGCTGTCCGCAAAGGCCCCACGGTTTGGATCCCCTTTTGTCATGCCCTTTGGGACTGCTCCGAGCAGCCGAAATCTTCCTGGACCAACACACCGAGATCCTTTTCGTGAGAACAATGTGGCAGATCCTGGTCCCTCAGCTTATATTTTTGAGCCATTCGGTGTCTTAAATGGAGCAGTCGATATTTAGCCACATTGAAGAGAAGGCGATTTTGGACCGACCATCCATAAATCTTGTCAAGGTCGAGTTGAAGCTGAATACAGTCTTCTGGAGCTCTGATCACTCGCCAAACTTTGATGTCATCGATGTAGAGTAAGCAGTTTGACTCACTATATCGTTTAGGAAGACCGAGAATAGACGGGGCCCCAATACCGAAAGCTGTGGCACTCCGCATTCGACGTGAATTGGGTCTGATATGGATTCACATATTCTCACCTCCAGACGTCTGTGCGAGAGAACATTGCAGTGGGTCCCCAATGCCACATCCTTGAAGTTTGGTGAGAAGGATACCATGATCCAACCGGTCGAATGCCGAAGAGAAATCAAGGTAAGTCACATCAACTCCTGCACCAGCGTCCACATTTTCGGTCCAGTTGTCTCGTGCTTACATCAGCTACGGTTCTGGTGATCGAAACACCAAGGTTCACTACAATGGAAACCGCGGTCAACATTGAGATTGTGCGTCGCAATTCATCCAAATATCCTGTACTTCGAACTTACCCTCAACACTTTGGAAACGGTTTATTAACCTCCCATTTGACGCTCCGTTGAATGGATGAAAGAATCGTGCTATTTACCATAGGCATTGTACTGATAGGAGCAATCTCTATTTTGTGTACTTCATTCACTGAAATCGATGCTTTTGTCGTTTAAAAGGAATCCATTTCGTCCAACATCGAAGGATATTATGACTTATAGCGCTGACAGCTTTCGTTGGTCACGCGTCCCTCATGATTTACCTGACCGACTCTTTTGCGTTTGCATAAACACCGGTGGTATGGAAACGGGTTAAGCTGTAGGTGAAGTAAAACACTGTGGCAGAAACAGCCATCGAGAATTTCGCCTGATATCTTAAACACGAACACGAAAGCCGGCCTCAAGCATTTGATGCGTTTCAAAGATATACAACTGGAGCAACGGGAGATGTTCTCGGCGGTTCTAGTTTATTCAATCTCTTGCTAACGCCTCACTGGCACTTATTTCTGCACAACGCTGCTGGGCGCATGTCTGGACTAAATGGATTCAAATTCATCTCCCTTACTCTCAAGAATTTGTTTTGACCCCCCCACCACTTTTGCTTACCATTTCCTCATCGACCTTGTTCGCCATTATTCGGGGCAGAGGTGGAAGCATGGGTATCAGTGGAAGAATTTATTCACTTGGGCCGCATACCTGACACCCGACCCATTCACATGCGCGAACAGCGCATCGACTTAGACCGTGTTTGCATCTGACAAGCATCGTTTGTCTCGACAACACGGTGGCTTGTATTTGGTATATCATGCATCGTTATCCCGATAGTTTTGGGTTGCATTTCGAGTCCCGAACATCGGTAGCGGGTCCGCTCCTCAGGTTCCTTCGCTTCATTAGCGTTTATGCTTACTCAGATGTGTAGACCAATGCACGCGTATAGATATGCACTGTGTACTTATGCTGATTTGGCTCTCTCTTTCTCTAGGGCGCCGGTACCTGAATTCTCACCTCATCCGGGCTGTGCTTGCACGACTATTGAATACTGTTTTGTACAAGCAAGTATAAATTCAGATCCCTACAATTCCATCTTAATTTGATCACAAATGTTATAAAAAGTATCAGTACCCTATTGTTACACTATCCGTTCTGTCTGTCAGTCTGTGTATCATGGTTTCGGAATTCAAACAATTCCTAGATTCCCACTTCGCGGATCATAAGTACAGGAAGCGCGTCCCACCTGAATAGCCTATAGCGCAGCTGCAGTATGCTGCCAACGCGCAGCAATCTGTGACGTGGTTCTGCCCATTTGACTCATCTAATTACAATGGAGCAACCATGGGATGTATTTGTATGTATTTGGCTGGCTTGCCGAACAACCTCCTCGTGGTGCCAGCTGGGTGGTTCGGGATTTTCCCGTTCCAGCAAATGGTTCGGCGGCAGTGTTCCAGGACGTGGTGGGTTTTCGCCTGGCAAGCGTTCTCCCTATAAAAAGCCACATATGTCCGTTTAACAACACTGTGACGTGGCGGACGTGACTCGCCACTAAATAAAGTCACTGCCCCTTGCTTCATCCTGGCGAAGCATTGTATTCCAGCAAGTTGATGCTGTAATTTCGGGGAGTATTGGGCCCCTGTTTGGCAAAGGAACAAACGAAAGGCGTATGAACTGATCAATCAGTCACCGGCTCCCAATGGGCGCGATTCCCTGAATTCGCTCCGCTGCCTTGCGGACAGGCTATTCAGCCAAAGGCTCGGGGTGGTGTCCCCTAAGTCAACACCCTACTTCGGCTTGGGCAACCGGGTAGTATTTCGCCCTCTGAGGAAACCATGGACATTGTTGTGTTGTTTTTTATTTTACTGTTTCTGTACCTTCGTTTGAATCCCATGGTTTCTGATGGCATTATGTCTGTCAGCAGACTTTTGCAAAATATATATATATATATATATATTTGTAAATTATCTATTTGCAATATTTACTATTCACAGCACTCAGGAATGTGGAACCTTATTACCAGTGTGCAGTCGTTCTCTGGAATGTACACCCAGCAACATTTCGAACTGCTGCACCGATTTGGCCTTCACGACCTGTTCTTGCAGAATATTCCAATCATTTACCGATCCGTTCGAAGCACAGAGAATGGGCAAATCGCTTCATACCCATGACCACAAACTTATAATGGTGTCCGCGTGTGCTGCATGGCGTACGCAAGGGGACTAGCGGCCACAAGATGCTAAAGTTCCCGGGATGTGATGTGCGCTAGATCACACTGAGGTCGATTCGCATTCGGGGATATGACATAATGTTCGACTCCTGGCATCTCCCAGTGCTCTTCGTATGGCAATCGTCGTAAACTCGAAATTTACTTGGCGGCGAAATGCAGGACCCGTTCTATCTTCTGTGTTTCGTCTCGAGTGATCGGATATATATTGTATACTATACATAGCCTATGGTACAGATATTGTGCCATCGGAATCATGGCTGAATAGGAAAACAGTAGGAATAATAGGTAAATAACATCAACAACAAAAGCTTTTTAGTCCAGTTTGCCACTCACAGCTTTTGGAATATCTTCAGTTTGCTTTTTTAAGGGGAGCAAAGAGGGACACCGCAACACACGGATGCACACGTCCGCCACTGACATCGATCTTGAGCCATGGTTTCCAAGGTCTTCAATCAACAGGTATCCACATCTCTTAGACCCCAACCAGGTAGTTGACAACAACTGACCGAGGCCAAATGTTTTGTCAGCTTTTCCTTGCGGCTTTTCCAAGTTACAGACTGTCCACCAGACCGTCTCTTCCAACCCTGTCCAGCAATCGCAAACAATGCAGGACGCGTGTAACGCTGGACAGGCATGCGCAATACGTTTCCCAGCCACCGCAGTTGATGCAGTGAGACGAACTACTCGAGAGACTAGCTTCCTCGCCCCAAGACACGCTGTCTAACTTTCAGCTTGCTTACGTGATACCACCACCACACACGGGTAATGGACCGCAGACAGCGGTGCTCGAAGACGGATAGCCTGCGCAAG